CCAGCAAGGCTGGCTGGGGAATTCTGGGAGTTGAAGTCCACCCGTCTTAAAGTTCCTGAGGTTGAGACACACTAATTTAGTGCAATATGTCATCTCGGTGACTGAGGAAGCCTGGTTGAGTAAATCAACACTTATAGCCCTTTAATTCCACTATTTACATTTCTCCAGCATCTTCTCCTACACCTGCAAAAAGATCCTGAGAGTCTTCTCTGTTTTTTTATTCTCCCCACATTATCAGGACGACCCCTTTAAGATTAAGTCGGGTGGAATGGTGGACATGAAGAAATTGAAAGAGCGAGGCAAGGACAGGTGGGTCCATGGTCATCCAATGACATAAAGCACTTCATTTAAAATTTTGTTGCCCGTGGCAAACTAGCACAGCAGGGGACCTTGAAGGAATGGGCAGTGTTTAGCTTTGAGAAGACCGAGAAAGGACATGATGTCCACCTCAAGCCATGAGGACATCAAAATAACAGTGCGCTATGGTGATGTACTTGCATCATGACACATTAGCGTGATGGCTTCATCACTTATCTCCCATGAGGATAATGTTCTTCTTGGACTTGAAAGGGATGTCACACAGAAGGTCAACATCTGTCTTTGGCACAGAGCAAGAAATGGAGTAATAGATTTGGGGGAGAGTCTGGGAGAGTCATGGAAGGAATGGTAGACAGGAATAACCAAGAGATAAGACGTAGGCTGGATCTGTTGGGAGCTTGTCTCATAAATGGCAACTCAGTCCAGGTGGGGAAAAAATTAGAAACAATTCAAAATATCCAAGAGGTTCTGCCTTAATGAACTCACTATTAAATCAGATTTGGAAATCCCCTTTGCAGTTTCCAAACTGTTGGCATTTGCCCCAATAGTAGCATCAAACTCTTATTAAAGTCTGGGTAATTCTTGTTTCCTTGGTCGTGCTGTGTGGGGCTTGACGAGGTTTAGGTGACAGGATGACTTTTTATGATTGACCATTATGAAAAACTTCCTAAGAGTCAGAGCAGTTTGACAGGGGAACCCATGACCAAGGATGGACTCTCCTCTGCTGGATGTGTCCAAGCAAAAGCTGGACAGCCACCTTTTGGAGATGCTTGAATATGGATTCCAACAGTGAGGTGGACTCCATGGCCTTGATGACTTGATGGCTAAGACAAATTGGCATGTGGTTAAGTGTTAGAAAAGAACATTTATTGATAAAATCAACAGTGGAGCCAATGATCTTGAATCAGCCTACAGCTGTAGAGGACCAGTGGGCAATCTTAGGAAAAGATGCAGCTGCTTTAAAAGGTTGCAGATGGATGCCACGGCTGCACCATTGTGTGCTCTTTTGGCCTGCACCTTTTTTGGCCTCTCCACATAGATGTTCATGGTTTGTGCTGCTTAGGAATGATGGGAACTGGAACCCAACATCTGGAGGGCATCTGATTATGAAAGATGGGCTTGAGAGTTTACTAAAGATTAATTCTGATGCTTTCTGCTCTTGATGGTGCTTACAGTGGTTTTCAAAGAAGTCATCTTTGTCACCTTCTTACAGGATCAGTGAAGAAGAGGACCTCAACCTTGGCACCTCATTTTCAGCCGAGACCAACAGAAGGGATGAAGATGCAGACATGTAAATGGCTTGTTGGCTGTTGGCCACTCTATTGCCCACAAAGCGGTGTTTGGAAGGGTGGTAGAAGCCACCAACTGAAGAAGTAGAAGAACTATGCTGCAGTTGGCTGATTCAGCCAGGCTTGGCTAGGTTCATGTGACACACTAAGCCTTAAGACAGTTCACAAACCGCATGAGTTGGCTTCTTAGAATTAGCTGAGCCCAAACCAGCCACCTCACCTGATGACTTAATGCATCCAGCGTCCTATCAACCTTTGTACCGTAGTAATAACAGAGCTACAACAAGGCTATAGCTGTAATGACAAATCTATGTAGCGAAAGAATGGAGCCACAAGATAATAAGTCATAAAATCGTTCCCTTTCTTTCCTTTCTTCCTCACTTCCTCTCTTTCCTTTAATTTTAATTTTCTTTTTTCCTCTCCTCTCTCCTTCCTTCCTTCTTCTCATTCCCATCTCA